CATTAACAACCTGCGATATGCAGATGATACAACCTTGCTTGCTGAAAGTGAAGAGGACTTAAAGTATTTACTGATGAAGATCAAATAACACAGCCTTTGCTATGGATTGCATCTCAATATAAAGAAAACAAATATCCTCACCACTAACCAATAAACAACATTCTTATCAATGGAGAAAAGATTGAAGTCGTCAAGGACTTCATTCTTCTTGGATCAACTATCAATACTCATGGAAGCAGCAGTCAAGAAATCAAGTGACGTATTGCATTAGGCAAATCTGTTGCACAAGACCTTTTTTTAAGTGTTGAAGAACAAAAATGGCAGCTTAAGGACTAAGGTGCATCGGACCCAAGCACCTTATATACAAATAACCTTATATGCATGCAAAAGCTGGACAGTAAATAAGGAAGACTGTAGAAGAATTGATGCTTTGGTTGTTGGGGGAGAATATTGAAAGTGCCATGGGCTGCTAAAAGAACCAACAGATCTGTTTTGGAAGAAGTGCAGCCAGAGTGCTCCTTGGAGGCCAGGATGGCCAAACTTCATCTCTCCTCCTTTGGACGTATTGTCATGCAGGACCAGTTTGCTGGAGAAGGATATCATGTTTGGTAAGGTGGAGGGTCAGAGAAGCAGTGGAAGACCCCAGCGAGATGGATTGGCAAAGTGGCAAGATCAGTGGGCTCATGCGTGGCAACAATTGTGAGGTTGGCTCAGGACCGGGCAGTGTTTCGTTCTGTTGTACGTCGCTATGAGTTGGTACTGACTCGATGACACCTAACAACAATTACAGGCATTGCATACTATGGTCTCTCATTGTTTTTTAGGCAGAATATGAAACACAGCTACAGAACATGGAGAGTGTTGGTTTATAAATACTTAATGACTTAGACCTAAGAAACTCAGTGACCCCAGACACTTCAGATAAAGACCCAGCATCCCTGTGAGCATCTGTAAAGCCCCAAATCTGTGTTTCTCCTGTGTTTCCTTTGGCTACTTAGGCAATGACGACAACAGTTGTTCTCCACTCTCTCGCTGCCCTTCGGAGTGTACTTGCTTGGATACAGTAGTCCGATGTAGCAACAAGGGCTTAAAGGTCCTGCCGAAAGGTATCCCGAGAGATGTCACCGAGCTGTAAGTAAAGGCGGCCTTTCTTTTCCCACAGCTATTCATGAATCACACCCTGAGGGAGACAGAGATGAAATAAAGAAAGGCGATCCGATCATTGGTCAGTGCATTACTTGGAGAGCCGTGAGGTCACATGGGAGATTTAGAACTAGGAGAAACCAAAGGAGAGGTTGTGATACTGTATTGCCCAGCATTTACCAGAATTGCTCATTTGTAACACTGGAGTGACCGTGGATGCATGAATTATTTGGGAACTTGGCTCCCTCTAGATGCATAGAACCCCCGGTGATGCAAAGGGTTAACTGAAAGGTGGGTTATTGGAACCCACCCAGAGGTGCCTCATAAAATAATAATAGTAAATCTGCTTCTGAAATGTCACAGTGAGGTAGATCCTTTGGAGCCCCGTTTTGCCCTCCCACTGCTGGCATTGAGGGCTACTGCTTTTGATGCTTGATCTCAAGTGGACAAAAAATAAAGCATTTCCACATGACTGAGGTGGATGCATGCTAAGGACTCGGACATAGTGCATTCACACAGGGATAAAGGGATAGAATGGAAGAAGTTTAATTCTCTGATTGATCCCATTCCTCATACAGAGCTTGAGTCAGCTAGAGGGTTGTGGGCAGTACTGAGGGGTAGCTCTGTGTCTGTGTGCTTGGCCAGGTAGCATTGCATACGGTTAAAGATCTGTTTTGAAATGTTCGCAGTAGATAGGTTCCACATGCATTAGCATCTAAAGGCCTGTGGTTCAAAGCCAAATGAGCAGTTTCTCATTTGGCTTTGATATTTACTTATCTCATGATGTAAGACACTCTCCTAGGTCATACTGGTAAAAAAAAAAAAGAATCAGTTATACTGATTACAAGTCATGCTGCTAACCTCAAGGTTAGCAGTTGGAAACTACCAGCGGTTCTGCTGGAGATAGATGAGGCTTTCTGCTCCCATAAAGATTTACAGCCTCAGAAACACTATGCAGGGTCGTTATGAGTCGGAAGTGACTCCACAACACACCACCACGACAAATACCATGTATAAATATATGGATGTGTGTGTGTGTATAAGGAGCCCTGGTAGTATAGTGGTTACGAGTAGAGCAGCTAACTTCGAGGTCAGCAATTCAAAACTACCATTCTGCAGGAGAAAGATGAGGCTTTCTGCTCCTGTAAAGATTTACAGCCTTGTAAACCCTATTCAGGGTTGCTGTGAGGCCGAACCGACTCCACAGTACACCACCACCACCACTACCACCGTGCGTGTGTGTGTGTGTGTGTGTTGTTGTTGTTGGTTTCTGAGGAACAACTGATGAACTTGAACTACCAACCTTATGGTTCAAACCAATTTTGCAATCCAGTGTGTTAACATTAACCCACAGCGCCATACCAGGATATAGCCTGGTATGTATGTTTATATATTTAGTTGTTCATGTTAAGTACTGTCAAGTTGATTCCAACTCACAGCAAACCTGTATACAGTTTCCAAGGAGTAGCTAGTGGGTTTGAACTGCCAACCTTGTGATTCACAGTCCAGTGCTGGTCCTACAGCACCACCCCACGAGTCTGATGTCAAGTCGGTTGCACCTCATAGCGATCCTGTAAAGAGTTTTCAAGGACAGTGACACTGTATAGGGTTTCCAAAGCAGATTTCCACCACTGACCTTTTGGTTACCAGCCCAGTGCTTATCCTACAGCGCCACACCAGGACTCATTTGGAGAGACTCATATGGAAAGTTCTTTTCTGTTCTCCGGGGTCATTATGAGTCAGACATGACTAGATGACAATAGATTTGGTTTTGGTATTTATTCGAGGGAGCTAGGAAAAGTTCATGTAAAGATGCAATTAAAAGATTAATTTTCCACATACTTTTTAAAGCTAATATGTAAGGAGTTCTGGTGTGGCGCTGTTATGACAACCCTGTGGTTAACACCCCAGTGCTTATCCTACAGTGCCACACCAGGGTTTCTGAGGCTGTAAAGCTTCACTGTAGCAGAAAGCCTCATCTTTTTCCTGCAGAGCAGCTGGCAGGCTGGCACCATGGACCTTGTGGTTTGCAGTCCTGTGCTCATCATACGGAGCCACTGCGCTCCCACATGCATATGTATTATGTATTTCATTTCAGAAGATGCCATGGGCACTTTAAGCCTCCTGTTTTGGGGGCTATTAGATGCCTGGAGAATATTCAGTATGCAACATGCTGCCTCTAGGAACACCCCAGCTGGAAGACGAACTCTCTCCAAAAGCATGAACATCTTTCATGCCGACTCTTCTACAATTTTAACTGGCTCCACGCCTTAGCCCTTTTCCCCAATTCCCATCCAGTACTTTCTAAAAATCATTTTAATTCCATTATTCAACTATGTTTGACATGAACTGCTTAGTTCGTGTTCTGTCTGTATTAACTATGTGTTTCTGCAGTCAGGTAGTCTAATAGCCAATCTCTTACACTACAAATTATTTTTAAAGTATTTTCTTCTGAAGAAAGCATTTTATAGATAGAAGGAAAATATTAACTCATCTCTGTGAAATTACCTCTCAGCGAGCTTATTCTTAGAACCATACCAAATCAGTTGGATCCTTTCAACAACAGCATATATGCATCAATTAGGCAAGTTTTATATGTAAGTTATATTAAATTATTAAAGCATTTGGCAAAAATGAGTATGTATTGATGGGCAAGTTTAAACAAAATGGTGCCGGTTATTTCTTAATTGTGTCCATATAATTTCTCCTTAGATTGTTTTACATGTAAACATCTGTAGTGCCCATTCTAAATTGTTGGTCTTCATCTATGTTCTTCTGTGAAGTAAAGGAAGGGCACTGCAGTATAAGGAACAGTGGCACCATGGTTCAATTGCTCAGCTACAACAACAACAACAACAACAAAAGTCTGCAGTCTGAAACTGTCAGCTGCTCCCTGGGAGACAGATAGAGCAGTAGGTGTCCACAAAGACTTAGAGCTTATGGGACTCCTATAGTGGGGTCACTATAAGTTGGAATCAACTCCAAGGCAGGTTCCTTTGACTGAAGCATATGGAGTTGTGCTCCCCTCTAGTGGTAGTAGGAAAAACAGAACTAAAGGAAAAGAAGTAAAAAAAAAAAAAAAAAGTAAGTTTAAGGAGTCCTGGCCTGGTATGGTGCTGTGGGTTAATGCACTGGACTGCAAAGTCAGTTTGAACTGTAAGACCGGTGATTAAGGCTCATCAGCCATTCTTTGGAAACCCTATACAGGCTCGTAATGGGTCAGAACCCGACTCGACATCACTTAACAACAAGTCATAGCGTATGCCTGATTCTTCCTCTAAGATTTTTCATGTTGTATTAACAACTTGGAGTCCTGGTGTGGCACTGTGGGTTAATGTGCTGGACTGCAAAGTCGGTTTGAACTGCAAGGTCAATGGTTCAAACTTACCAGCTGCTCCTAGGAAACCTTTTATAGGCTCACTATGCACTATGGGTTGGAACTGACTTGATGGCACTTTAATAATAACAACAATTAACAACGTGTGCCTGTTATATGACAGTTTTGTTTTTGAAGTGTTTGGAATAAATCGCTTTTGTGTACAACTTGTAAGCTACTTCTATGTCCAGCTTTAAAGTATTTTCAACTTAAGCCTATTTATGATTGAAACCATCTGCCACTTGTTAAAGCCACCCCTCGGGGTTTTCTTGCTTTATTGATAACCTATTTCTTCAGTGAGCAGGGTGTTTTTCCACTAGGTTTTGTTAATACTTCAAGCATTATATGGTTTGATTCCCTCATCATTCCAAACAAACCAGAGCTGAACAAAAACCACAGTGATTAAATGAGTTAGGATTTTCTCCCTGACACACAAGTGGCTGGATGCTGCCGTGCCTTGTTAGATAAACCACAGAGAAGTAGCTTCATGGACCTCTCCTTAGTTCTGTAATTTAGCATCAGTGATCCAAAAATCATTTCTCCGGATTAGATATCAGTGGGTTTTGATTTTGGTTTTGGTGTTTTCTATACTTTAATAGTCGCTCCAAACTAGGGACATGACATCGTCAGACAAAGTTACCAAATCCTTCCTTGCCTCAACCAAGCCTGGGCAGTTGTTCCACTCTTTCATGAGACACTGATGTTATTTTAGAAAGAAGGTGATAATGGTTTCCTGTTTCCTTTTTGTTTATTTATTTTTTCTTTCAGGTATCTGGATGGGAACCAATTCACATTGGTCCCCAAGGAACTTTCTAACTACAAGCATTTAACACTGATGTAAGTAACAGACTACATTGTTCAGCATTTGATTTCTTTGCTGTTTCATATAAACGGGGATGGCCAAGGGCATGAGACGCAGGCAACCTTTCAGATAATATAAATCATTTACACTTAGTTGCTCCTGCCCTTGCTCACTGTGGTTCTGGATCATTGGTTGTATCTTTCTAGAGTATCAATCAGGCAGTAGACTTCCTTAAAGCAAGGTCTGCCTCTATTCAAAGAAGTACAAGTTTGATAAAGTCTGAGTAGTCAGAGAATTAGAGAGAT